CATCCCGGCGCAGACAACGCCGCGTGCTCGAAAAATGCATTCGCTCGCACTCCATTAAAATCCGCGAGCAGAGCGAAGTGAGGAGAGAAGAGGAGAGGAGCGGAGGCCCCGGCCGCGTTTCGGATTTTCAATTCCCGGTTGACAAAACTGTATTTCCAGCGTCGTAGCCGGAAATTTCTGGCGAATCTATCCAGTGTGTTAACAGTTCGCGCGCGCGCGCTCGCGCTCGCGCGATCGATACCGCGGCCACGCCGGTAAAACGCGATTAAAATGAAAAAGAAAAAAAAGCACCTTATTCGCGCGCGGACAAATACGGTCGCGCGTTGATATACGCGCGAGAGAACTCGGTGGACCGGACGCGCTCCGAGGAAAATCTCGCGGCGGGGTTTATACATATATATATATATATATATATATATATATATATATATATATGTATATGTATATATGTATATATATGTATATATATCTCGAGGAAAGTCGCCGCCTCGCTACATAAGCAGAGATGACTCGATAAATCGGTGATCTGCCTCGCGCACGAGCTCCAACGAGCACTCTTTCCTCGGCGGTCCGGACACCGCCGGTCTACGTACAGTGATTTGTCGGTGTCCCGGAAGCGGCGGCACTCCGGCGACCTCACGTTCCGGGATCCGTGTTTTATGCCGGCGCTTATTGTTAGAAACGTCCGCGGTTCGCGGCGAAGTAACAAATCGACGCGACAGATTTAGACGCACGGCGAAATACTGCGACCGACGACGATCCGATCGCGGCGGCACTTCCCTTCGATAGCCGAAGTTCTTGTCGGCACACGGTGCAACGTCTACGGAATCTGGCACGATTCGAGTACGGACGAGTCTCTGTGTATTTTCACTTCGATCAAGTGCGAGGTGGAAACGCTGCTCGAAAAAATAATAGACAAATATGCTCGGAAAATGTTGGATGAAAGTTGGCCGACTTTGACTTACGATAATTCTGTGGAACATCGTCGTAGGATTATGAGGTTTACTTTATTTTGAAGCTTGAAATCTCTACTTTGAGGCGTTGTTTTATGATTTTGTATTTGACGAACCCTCGTTATAGCAACCCTTAAAATGTGGGACCGTGTTTGTCGTGTTGAAAATATGAAGTTTGAGTGGCGATAATTCCGCGAAATGTCATCGTAGGATGATGATCATTTTTTTAAATTAAAGCTTGGAATCTCTACTTTGAGACAGTATTTTTTGATTCTAAGTCTCATGGCACCCTCATTGCTGTAACCATTTAAATGTGAAGCCATGTTTGCAATATTAAAAATTGCCATGTGTTACCATGTTGAAAATTGGCCAACTTCGACTGACGATAATTCCGCGAAATGTCGTCGTAGGATGACGATCATTTTTTAAAATTAAAGCTTGAAATCTCTACTTTGATACAGTATTTTTCGATTCTAAGTTCCACGGCACCCTCATTGCTGTAACCATTTAAATACGAAGCCATGTTTGCCACATGTTTGCACTGAAAATTGCCAAGTTCCACGAAACACCAGGACACCGTCAATTTTTCTACAAGGATGCCGTTGGCAGCGAAACGAAGTTCGATTCTTCCCCTTTGATTCGATAAAAAAGAAACGTGCCTGCGATTGTTCGTCGCGAAGTTACAGCGTTCCGGAAGTACGCACTCTCGCCCGAAAGTCGCGAAAAATTTCGTCCATCGAAAGAAGCGTTAAAGAGCTCCTGCATAATCATTTTCTCAGGCTTCTTCTCACCGTTGAAGATTACGTGAGTGGATGAAGTCGCGAAGAGCGTGCACGGTCGAGTTTTATATTAAAAAATCCGCCGCGTCCCGGGTCTCTAACAGCCGGCTGATTTATTCAGAAAGAAAATTGCTTTCGTCTTTGAAATACGCGGCTGGCTGCGTCGCGCCCGCAGAGTTCGGTTACGCGGCGCGCGGTTTAGTCTGTTCGTTTTTCCCCTTTGATACATTTTTCTTGTTGTTTTCGTTATTTCCGGTATTCACGTTGTGTTCATCGTTCCGTCCGAGGTGCTTCTATGTATATCCCTGCTCTATAATTCCATTTGACATATTACATTCCGTCGCGGGACCGTCACCGTAACACTCCCGACCACCCCCCGGACCACCCCCCGACCACCCTCGACCGCCGCCACTCTGCCCGCCAAAAGTGCAAACTTCATATATTTCACCGGCAATATTCCATCTCCCCCGAGGACCGAGACACGAATTCGTTTCGTTTGCACACCTCGCGGAAATCTGTTTGCTCTGGTCTCTTTGCTCTGGAATTTTAATTCCGGGTCACGTGGCCCGTGCTCGCCGATGATGGAACACAGCCGCTTACGAAAATGTCGGGCACATTCGATCGGACGGAAAGAAAATCACCGACGCGGCTCCCGATTAAGCGAACAAACATTTTTACGGACAGCTTTTTCACCTCGGAAATCCGGCAGCGCGACACATTTTCGAACCTTTACCTTCGGTCGGCGCAATTTTTCAGACGATGCACGAAAATTCGTGGAAACGACGAAGTTGCGTGCTTTTTGCTATTGCGCAGAATCGGCGGTAATTGGGATTTTCGACGGATTCGATGAATTAATTTTCGGACCGGAAGTTCTCGTTTTAATTTCGGAAGCTTTTAAATCGAAGTTTCTCACTCGCTCTTTAATTATTTTTCGAGCAGCGAATATTTTCTGTGTTTAATCGTTTTTCGACGAGAAGTTTCACTCTAATTATTTTTCAAATAGGAAACTTTCTCTTTGTTCAATAAGTTTTTATACAGAGAAATGTCTCCTTCTTGAACAATTTATGAAATACGAAATTCGCTCGATTCTCAATAATTAGACTCCTGAAACAGGAATGAAATAAGAACAAATTGTTTAAATTAATAAATTCGATTCGAATTTCTATTCCTTATCACCTTCCATTATGGCAACATTAGCAACAATTAAAAATTAGATAAATCAATGGAAGACCCGGCCAACAGCCACTATGATCAGAGTTATATTACAAATAGGAGCAATAAATAATTTTCTATTCCTCGCCTCCTTTCATTATGGCACCATTATGGCACCATTAGCAAGAATCAAAAAATTAAATAAATTAATGCAAATGAATTATGAGTCATGCGAGACCCGACCAATGGCCACTATGATCAGAGTTATATTACAAATAGGAGCAATAAATAATTTTCTATTCCTCGCCTCCTTTCATTATGGCACCATTAGCAACAATCAAAAAATTAAATAAATTAATGCAAATGAATTATGAGTCATGCGAGACCCGACCAATGGCCACTATGATCAGAGTTATATTACAAATAGGAGCAATAAATAATTTTCTATTCCTCACCACCTTTCATTATGGCACCATTAGCAACAATCAAAAAATTAAATAAATTAATGCAAGTGAATTATGAGTCATGGGAGACCCGGTCACCGTCGAGTACGGTGGTCCGTCATGCGACGGTTAAAAATATCGCCCTGAGCAATATTTTACCTTCTCGATAAACCCTTCGGCACTTCCGGTCGCGTAAATCGTCGGTTAATTCGTTCGGCGCCGCGAGCTGAATCGAGGCGCGCTGTTTCGAAGAAGCCGGGGGCACGAAACGAACCTGCCCCCCTCGGCCCCTTCGGTTATTATTTTTACAAGCGTGCCGGTAATATAAATCGGCGTCGAACGAGTCCCGTGAACGCTTCCGAGGGATTCGTACGCGCGATATTCATCTAATTTTCGCGGTAATTGGTGGCTAACGGGTTCCCGCAGGCTCGTTACGCCGCGCGCACGCCTCTCCTCGCACCCTTCTCGCGAGAAATTACGCTCCGGGGTGGCGCTAACCGCCCTCGCGCTAGCACACTCCGGAGAGAGTTTCGCTGTCGGGGATAGAATCGATGGCTATTGGAAAGTAAGCTGTCGGGGTGTGCAGTCTCCATCCTACGGGTTTGTATCCTGCCGGCGGATCCGAGTCTCACGGGTGCGATTCTCCAGTGAACGCCCGGATTAAGACCCTCAATTTTCCTCGGCGACGCATAAGTAAACCGGGAACCGTTCCCGCCACCCCCACCGAGCGAAATCACGAATTTTTTTGGAAAATTATGGTAACTCGAGGTGAGATTTATGATTTTGGGGATCTTGCCGGACTACGGTGACACGTCGAAGGTCCAGTTGGAGTCCCGAAATTAGAGATAACAAGATATTTCTTTATTTGATAATTTATTTCGTGATTTAAGAATTTATTTCTTGATTTAATATCTTCTTTCTTGATTTAATATTTTCTTTCTTGATTTAATTATTTCTTTCTTGATTTTATATTTTCTTTCTTTACTTAATATTTTCATTCCTTAATTAATATTTTCTTTCCCTATCTAATACTGTCTTTCTTTATTTAATAATATCTTTTTTCCCTTATTTAATAACGTCTTTATTTATTTAATAATATCTTTTCCCCCTTATTTAATAACGTCTTTCGTTATTTAATAATATCTTTCCCCCTTATTTAATAACGTCTTTCTTTATTTAATAATATCTTTCCCCGTTATTTAACAACGTCTTTCTTTATTTAATAATATCTTTTTCTCCTTATTTAATAACATCTTTCTTTATTTAATAATTTCATTCTCTATCTAATAATTTCTGTCTTTATTTAATAGTATCTTTTTTCTTGATTTAATAAAACGTCTATCTTTATTTACGTAATAATGTCCTTCTTCCTTTATCCAATAATTTCTTTTTTCTTTTATAATTTTAGCGAGCCGATTTTCCGTTTGTCATATACGTGCTGCACGTTAACGTTAAGCGAACAAATAAATATAACTAATAAAATTGTCAATTTAATAAAATAAAACCGTCTCTACGATCCAATATTTTAACAGCGACACTTAGAACGAGGCGCTACAGCCAACTGATTAATAAACGCTCCTCGCAAGTCAAGACATTATCATAAAATGTTATATAAGATGCGTTAACGCGTCGAACAAATTCAAGCGAATAAAATCATAAAATCCGTCGCTCACCTTGTTGTAAACGGCGATGTCGGGGACCCCGGGCCCGGCGCAGGTGAGCACGTAATGCGAATGATCGGTGGAGAACTTGGCGGTGTTGTAGAGACACTTCTGCCCTCTGTCCATTTCTCGGGCCGCGTTGCAGCTGAGGCACGTCGGTTTGCGGTCTTTGCCGTGCACGGATATCCGGTACAGATGCTGCACCGCGGAATCGGCCTCTGTCGTGGCCAGGTAGTACCTTTAAGCAGAGAGAAAAACGTTAAGCGTTCGTTTCCGTACCGCGAACCCGGGCACACTGTCTCCTAGCTTCTCCCCCCCTCGCCCACCCATCTCCCTTCACCCCATCCAGAGCTTTAATGGCTTTGTAATCGCGAGAAGGGTCCCGGGTATTTGCGTCGCGACGAGACCCCGCTTTGTTTACAGATACAGGCATTAACCGACACTGGCTCCCGCTGGAACTCTTCGTCCTAAGCTTTCGTTGTTCGGTCTCTCCTTTGACCGATCTCTCGAGCTGCATTTTTCAACGGACGATTCTGCTTGTTTGCCCGACGGTTCGCGCGATCTCTTTGTTCAGCGAGCCACGCGACGCCGCAGGAAAATATGAATTCTTAAGAGGTCTCTGTTTTAGCATTTCTTTTTTTCTCTATGGCGGATCTGTTTGAAGAACAGACGCATTTTTATGGTCCATCCAGAGCAGGTTAAATCAGGTTAAACGATCGCTGCTTCCGTTTTGTGTTTTTTTCGGAAAATGAATTTCATTAGCTACAGTAACTGGTCCTATTTTTTTCAATAGTATGACGATGGACCAATTACTGCAGCGGCGTTGAACGGACGTTCTTTTTTCGTGTTCCACGAAGTGCAGTGTCTGTACATATTGTACGTGTATCGTTTTTGCATTGCGGATCTTCACCGCCGACTCTCGTTTTCAGTTGTGATGGTAGATTGGAAAGGCATTTATATTTCGATAATTGCTAAAAGCTGTTTATTTGACATTTTTAGATTGAGTAATCATTACTTTCCTGAAAAAAGGGATCTATGATGTCAGTTTCACTTTTTCGGGAAATGAATTCTACTAGTCTCAGTAACTGGTCCAAAATTTTGTTGTAGACCGAAGTGGACCAGTTACTGAGACTAGTGGGATTGATTTTGAAACATATCCCAAAAATCCGGAAAACAAATTCCACTAGTCTCAGTAACTGGTCCAAAATTTTGCTATCGACCTAAGTGGACCAGTTACTGAGACTAGTAGAATTCATTTCCCGGATTTTTGGGAGTTTGAAGGGATGTCATAAGGCATGCTCACCGAAGACTAAAACTTAAAAAAAAACTTGATTTTAGTCTTAGGTCAGCATGCCTTATAATATCCCTTTAAATTCCCAAAAATCGGGGAAATGGATTCTACTAGTCTCGGTAACTGGTCCAAAATTTTGCTGTGGACCTAGTGGGACCAGTTACTGAGACTAGTGGGATCGATTTCTGAAGAGATCCCAAAAATCCGGGAAATGAATTCTACTAGTCTCAGTAACTGGTTCAAAATTTTGCTGTAGACCTAAGTGGACGAGTTACTGAGACTAGTGGGATTGATTTCTGAACAAATCCGAAAAATCGGGGAAACCAATTCCACTAGTCTCAGTAACTGGTCCCAAATTTTGCTATCGACCCAAGTGGACCAGTTACTGAGACTAGTAGAATTCATTTTCCGAAAAAATGCGACTCTGAGTGAGGCTTCATTACTTCACCTGAAAATATCGCTAAAATGAGAGCAATTGATTATTAATTACCAAATCGTCAGTCCATCTCCTAATGCATCTGCCCTCGCATTGCACTGGAAAACGATTCTACAACCATAACACAATGATATCGAGGAAATAAATCTCGGATCGAACGAAAAAGCGTCCGCAGGAAACTTCTAAAAATAATTGCACGGGCGTTTCGCAGGAAGATTTAAAGGCGGGCTCTCCTTCTCGCGCGGGCTTAGATCAATGTTGAAAAATCACGGCGCCGATAGGACGACCAGATATTTAAATGAAGCCCGACCGTGTAGTATAATTTCGATTTAATCGACTGCACGAGGCGAAACGGTTGCGGCGGATTCGACAGCGGGCCGGGTCGGGCACTGCAGTCACGTAAATGTTTTCAAGGTGAGGGTCAAGTTTGGCAGGCCGTACGTCAGACGTAACGACTCGAAGCTGTTAAGTCTGATTTATTGGTTTCGGTTGGCGATGCGGCCGGTGCCAGGGCCGTAAAGGGCCGGGCGGGGCCGGTAACGCGATCGGACCCCGCCTCCCCTGGCTCCTATTTGCATTAATGCGGATCGATTGCCGGCAGTTAATCAATCCGTGATTAACCCGAATTACGGAGTTCTTTCGCTCTGCGGCGAATCCGCAGCCGGTCTTCTCTCGTACGCACGCGGCGCTCGATAAACCGGTTAATGAAATGCGACGAAACGGTCTTGCTTTCGGAATCTCTGCAGAACTCGACTCGAGATAAAACCGTGGATCTTCGTTATCGATGCAGCGATCGATCCTCGATCACTGTTTTCTCATCGTCCGCGGTTCAAATTATTTACTCCAGTTAACATTTATAATCGTTTACGAACTATTATAAATGCATTTATGCATCGATAATAGCTCGTGAATCAATTCGATCTCCTTGTAAATTTATTTAGAAATTTTATTTCAATATGATTTTATGTGAATTACATTTTCTATTAGAACGGATAATTTTATATTTTATTATAATTTCGTTTATACAGTTTATATCGAATTCGTATATATGGATATAACTTTTATTTATTTAGATTTAACTATAAATTATTATTTGTGAATTTTATACTTTTATATGATTTTGTAAACGTATTTTATTAACAGATAAATTTAGTCTTTATATCAATTCATTTAGAAATTAACAAGTGAATTTATTCTTTACACAAATTCATTTAGAAATTAACAAGCGAATTTATTATTTATATATAAATATATATTTATTATTATTATATATATATTTATTATTATTATTATTTATATATAAATTCATTTCGACATTTTACTTCATATAATTTTATCAAACAAAATCGACAGCCATAAATTAACAACTGTAACTAGTGTGCAATTAAACAAAAGCGATACATTTGAACAGGAAAGTACATAACTGAAACTGAAAGTACGAAACGTCGGATTATCCGAAGAGAAACCCGAATAATTGTGTTTTCAAACGAAACGAATATTTTATTAATCAAACTATGCACCGTTCGCTAGCATGCACCTTCGCCAACGCGTTTCCGGGCTAAATAAATATAAACCGAACATAATCGTTCGAACGATCAATTCGATAAGAAATCCGGCGTTTCGAGTAACCCGAGCGAACGCAAACTCCCAACTTTCGCGGCTTGCCTCGCGAAAACTGGAACGTTGGAAAAATTGATTCCATCAGTATTTCTTGCAAATAAAGGTGAAACAAAAGCATAATAAAAATGTATCGCGTCAACGTACAGATTATCGCGTATTCCATGAATTCGCCGATTCCATGCACGCGGAAAAATCCGCCGGCCGGTTTAAAGTCGCGTGAAATCTACGGGATTAGCTTATTTCGCGCGAACGGGAACGTTGGGAAAATAGATTTTACTAAATGGAACAATTTTTCCGCGCGAAAATAGAAGAAAGCGCGGACGAAAATTCGTGTCAATACACAGATTATTCTGTATTCCATCGGTCCGCAGATATTCCGGAAACGCGGAAAATTCTACCGCAAATAAAAACTATGTAAAAGGCTGTGTAAAGAGCTGTGTAAAACGGTGCGAGAAATACAGATATGAAAAAAGGTATAATGTAACATACAAAGTGTAAAAATATGAAATGAACTTTAGAAAACTTCGAAAGTAATTTGGAATACTTTAAAAATAAAATATACGAGATAAAACAAGAAAATACAGCAAGAAAATAAAATAGAGAAAATAAAGCAGAGAAAATAAAATTCATAGAATAGAGAAAATAAAATAAATAAAATAAAACAGAATAGAATAAAATACAGTAAATTAATCTCACATGAAATACAATAATTTACACATTTATTCTGCAGAGAGAAAGAGTATTCTGCAAGAAAATAAAATAGAGAAAATAAAATTCATAAAATAGAGAAAATAAAATAAATAAAATAAAACAGAATGGAATAAAATACAGTAAATTAATCTCACATGAAATACAATAATTTACACATTTATTCTGCAGAGAGAAAGAGTATTCTGCAAGAAAATAAAATAGAGAAAATAAAATTCATAAAATAGAGAAAATAAAATAAATAAAATAAAACAGAATGGAATAAAATACAGTAAATTAATCTCACATGAAATACAATAATGTACACATTTATTCTGCAGTTACGAAGTCTGTTTACGCGGATTTTCATTCGGGCGAATGTAGAATAGCTGGCAGGACAAGCGAAATTGTTCAAGGGGGAGCAAAAAACGCGGCGATATTAATAATCGTGCCTAAGAAAATGCCGGCACGTAGCCGCAGTAAACTGCCGGAAGTTTAACCCGTCGGAAGATTAATTTTTTGCTGGTCGTAGAGAGCGAGCCGCGTCGGCGAAACCACTTTTCAAGGCTTTCGCCGCGCTTCGCCTCGATGTAAGGGAGTTTCAAACAGGTCAATTTCCCGAAGTACTCCGTTACACGGTCCATTCTGAACCGACTTCCCCGCGAAATTACAGCTTGGAACACCGTTCTTCTTCACGGTGGTGGTGGTGGTGGTGGTGGTGGCCAACGGACACGCGTTTCCATAAAACTGAACGGGTATTCTCAAGGCCGAGGCCCTACTTTAGGGAAACTCCGCGTCGAACTCGGTCCGTGAGAGCCCGACTATAATATAGCGAGCGTGAGAACCGCAGAATGTCACGGAACCGCACAATTTTCGCGGTGTCAATCTAACGCCGTGATTCTGTTTACGCTGATCAAAGGGTTCGCGTCAACCGACGGTCGTTCGAGTAGCAGTTTGATGGTCCTTTGCGTCGCAGAACGTGGTCGAACATCGTCTTTCAACAACGTGTTTCTTTCTGCCGCGACGTTCTCAATATTTGCTGCTTCGAATTCAAGTATCATGAATTATGCGGTGTCTCGAGTTTAACGAATTTTTATCGTAGTCAATTTTTAGCACAGTCAATTTTTAGCATAGTCAATTTTTAGCACAGTCAATTTTTAGCATAGTCAATTTTTAGCATAGTCAATTTTTAGCTTAGTCAATT